TTGTGCAGGATTCCCTGAAGGCATCAAAGATGCTTGTCAAGTTAGTCAAATCTGTTTCTAATTTGTGTATGAGCATAACTTCTTTTTTGGCTCAAAGTGCAGAATAATTTTAGTGCAATACCAATGCATACAATATTGCATGGGAGCAAGAAAGTTTGAATGTTGTTGGTTCCTGTGTCTGTTTTTAATTTGTTTATAAAAATTTTTTCTCTCTTCTTTATGACTGTAGCTCAAAATAAAACAACATTTTACTGTAGTAGGCAATAATGCATTGAAGCAACAAAGTTTGAATATTGTACATGCATGCTGTGGAAGAGTGTGACTGGCCTCAACTTTGATGATGCTCTACACTTCTACAGCATACATAACCAACCTTAGAAAATGAGGACCAAAACTAATGAACAGTCAAAACTGAACTGGCATTTATCTCATCATTAAATTTAACTTAAAAACTTGAACTTAAGAATTTAAGGATTGACATTCAAATAACATTGAGTTATTCATCCATATAAATAACCTGCTCTATTACTGCAGCTTTCTTAACTTTTGGCCCAATTTATTTGAAAAATGTTTTTTACTTCTTCATACTGCAATCATGAAGAGCAGTCTCTATATATGTGTTTAAACAGCACATACATATCAAGTACAAGTGGAACCTTGCAATTTGAGTGTAATCTTTTGCCAAACTAGGGTCACATTTCAAAGCAGTTGAATTGTGAGACACTTTGTGAAATTCAAAAATATCAGCAAAGAAGCGCAAGAAACATGACCAAAGCAGGTCAAATTGTGATAAGGGTCAAATTGAAAGTCAACCTCCCTGAAAATTCAATTGCAAATTGCAGTATTGTTGAATTTTGGGAGGTCAAATTGCAAAGTACCACCTGTGTATTAATATCAAAAACATAAGCATACATATCAAGCACTGCAAAATTTAAAGCTGTAAACTGTAAAGTGTCCTTGTATAATGATATTCTGTGTAATCTACAACTAAAACTCAGACAATAGAGAAATAGAGTTAAAAAACTATTTTTCATGAATAACAATGCCTTCAAGTATATTTCACAATCATTCTGACTTGGACTTGTAAATTTAGAATTTTATGGTTTTAAATGCTTTGATTTGTGCTTGAAGTTGTATATGCATGTATATATATAGATATAACTTTCCACATTATGATAAATGCTGTACAATAACTCCTCATTATACTCATGAAAATCAAGAGGTGGATGTATATATTTTAGATTGTTTGTGCATCAACAAATTTTGAGTCACTTCATTATTGACCTTTTTTTGTTTATACAGGGTGACAGTGGAGGTCCCTTGGTGAGGTTTGACTCTGATGGAACTGCAATCCTTGAAGGAGTTGTATCTGCTGGGATAGGCTGTGCACGCCCTGGGCTCCCAGGAATATACACTCGCGTTGCTGCTTATGACAAGTGGATCCACAAAATCATGGACACAACCTCATCAATCTCAGCAGCTGCTCATGAGCCCAAACACCTCAGGGAGGATAAAATGTCTGAGGTTCTTCTGAGTGGGACCAGAGAAGAACCAGCAGATGTCCCTGATGATACATCCCTTCTCCTGAGGAAGCTTGAGGAGAAGTTTATTGTGACAAAGCCTGTATCTTATGTTGATTTACTGAAAGCTGGGGGTGTTGGAAAAGTTTTGCCGACTATAAATGAAAACTGAACTTTATTCCAAGAGATCATGAATTTTGCAATTTTGTATTTTACTTATCCATTTGAGTATTGTATTGTGTTTCACTGTGAAACTGATGGCCTGGATTCTGGAAACCTCTGAATTCAAGGTGCTCTGCTTCAGTTGAAGGGATGGTGAACATTTGTTTTTGGCTCCAATTAAAATCAAGTGAATCCTATTTTGTGGAAGATTCTTTGTTGCTATTGATTTGTTATACAGTTGAAGTGGATCAAAAAACTCAGTCAAGAATTTTACAAACCACAGCATGAACTATATAGTTTAATTTTGATAATACTGTAGATGCAAACTTTCTACCAAAATTTCAAAAATGTTGATGCCCAGGTATGGCTGGGCACCTTGAGCTTATTTGCTTTATACAGAAGTTGCTTTTTTGTTTTCCATATTTATTGGGTTATTACTGTGCAGAAAATGTCCATGCTCACATAAAAACTCCAGATAATTTTAATGATTCAATCACTGAATTTAGAAAATACCTTTGGTTACTTTGATAATATATTCAAACTTAAAAAAAATTAAGAATGTTGATGCCCAGGTATGGCTGGGCACCTTGAGCTTATTTGCTTTAAACATAAGTAGCTTTTTTGTTTTCCATATTTTTTGGACTATTACTGTGCAGAAAATGTCCATGCTCACATAAAAACTCCAGATAATTTTAAAGATTCCATTTCTAAATTTTAAAAATATATTCAGTTGAGCATGACACCTTAATCCTTTCTTGGAAAACATAAAGGGGGAGCCTTCCTGTAAACATAGGTGATTACTGATGAGTATAATAGCACAGGATATAAGAATGATATTATTGGAAAGTCTTCATTAAGGGTGGAGCTGTCTTCTGTGGAGGGCACCTGAAACTGGCAGAAATAAAAAAGATGCTGCAATTTTTGTGGCCATGAATAATTTTTTCATCAAATTTTCACCAGAACAGTAGTCAAACAGCAAGCAACATATCAATCAGTTTGTGTGGAGTAATTCCCTGTAAATTATAAAATCAGGGGCACAAGAATTTTGTCCTCCATACCCTTACATACTACAAAACCTTGAATTTTTGCAAGCTCCTTCATATATTGCAACCCTTGCTTAGTGCCAAAAAATATCCTGGGATGGATGGTGGCACTAAATCTGGGTTTGACTGTACATTTGTTTTCTGTGAGGGCTGCACATATTGAGTGCTTCAGTATAGTAAGTATGGTAATTTGTCATTCTGTAACAGGTCTTCATCTGTACACTGTAAACTTTCAGTTCCACTTACTGAGGACCCACTGCCCCAGTGTGCTGCACACTTCATTAATTGAGGCATAAAATAATTGTGTAGAAAATCAGTGATAAAAACCATGGAAACAAAGCCCCTGAGAAATCCAGAACTTTCTTCAAGGTTTTCCTCCACAAAGTTGTCTTTGATTCTGTTTTTCTAGGCCAATCCAAGGTTTCTGAAAAATTGCCTGATCCAGAGCAGAGTAATGTACTGGATCAAGGCCATGATTGCAAGTTAAAGAAAAACCATTTTTTATTATCCCATCTTCATCATCAGTCTTAGCCTTGTGAGCAGTTGTGAATCCAAAATTGTGAGCTTATAGCTGATGAGAGCTGCTTTGTGATAGTCATTCTTGTGTCTTGAACTTTGTCATCATATCTTTAGTGAGTCCAAGAAAAGATTAAGAATACCCCGTTCTGAATGTGACTTTTGTATTCTTGTGTCTGCATAGTAACAGACCAGGATTGGTGTACTGGAACATTGCAACAGTGACTTGTGACCGGTCATTCACATGTCCTGGTTTACTTTCTGTTCATTTATGTTCATGCGCAGCCAGTCACGTGTCTTGCACATCCGGAATCTATAAAGGAGTGTCCAAACACTCTTTCATATGCTCATTGCTGGTTTGGACTGTATCACATGTGTAAGAAATATATTCACTTATAAGAGAAGTAGTCTTACTTGCTTTACCCCAGCCATAAGGATTAATACTTCTTGACTCAGGTTGTTCTGACAAGAAATCATTGAATTAGAGTAAACAAGTACAAAGCAGAAGAGACATTGGATGAGTAATCTTAAATTCTTCAACAGAATTGAAATCTTCAATTTATTCAACAGTTCAGGATAACAAGTTGTTCTCAAAATCTTGAACAATTGTTGAGGCTTGGAATTAAATTAGGGATTCTATACTGATAATTCCCAGCCCTTGTCCAAGGCTGAGTCTGCGTTTTTCTCCAACTGAAATCTTTTTCATTCACAACTTTCTTTATTCACCTTGCATTATTTTAAGTAACAGTTGTCCTCAACAGCACCACCATACCTCACCAACTCAGATCTTGCAGTATCCAAAAAAGAAAAAATATTTTTTGAAGTGCTTTTCAAGCAAAAGAGTCACTTTATTTTCTTTCAAGAGAGAATAAAGGGAAGTCACACACTTGATATGGCCAAAAAAAAAGAGAGGATAAAACCGCGTCGAAATTAAATACAGATGATGGAGTACATAGGACAGGAAATGATGACATAATATACGTATTTGACAGAGACATGCAGTATATGATGAGAGCTAGAAATAGATGCATATATGTAGTGTAGTTGAAGCAACAAAAACAACAACAAAATGAGAAGAAGAAAACCAAAAAAGAATAGCACCTCATATTGCGTCCAATTTAATTAATCTCGACTCGAATGTCTTTTCTCTTCATCATCGTCACACATCATGACATGAGCAAACAAGGATACTATTATAATAATAATAATAATCCCATCCACGCATTCTTTCACACCTTTCTATCCTTTTTTCGGTTTTCGCCTTCATTCTCAGTTCACAATAGTCTTTGGGATACATCATCATCATCATCATCATGATATTAGGGGGTTTTTTTTTCAAAAAAACAAAAAAACAAAAATGGTTTCTCTGCTTATATATTCCATGTCCCATTATCATCATCATCTTCAGCACTGAATTACTCGTTGCAATGACAACAGCACTTTAGCATGTGCACAAAGCTTTTGCGTCGTTCATCACGCGGGACAGTTTCGCAGATTTCAGCATCAGCGTCATTTCGTGCTGCTGATCGGATAACTTCATCACCAGGTTCGGGAATTGCGGGTGTCTCATCATCAGGACTTATTTGCAGACAGCAGCTACTGTTGCTGATGCTGGTGATGTTGATCACGTTTCCAGGGAGTAGGTTTTCTTCCGCCTGAAGCCCTTGAAGAAGGAGTTTCTGTGGGCCTTCGGAGACCTCGGCATCATTCCTGNTTATTTGCAGACAGCAGCTACTGTTGCTGATGCTGGTGATGTTGATCACGTTTCCAGGGAGTAGGTTTTCTTCCGCCTGAAGCCCTTGAAGAAGGAGTTTCTGTGGGCCTTCGGAGACCTCGGCATCATTCCTGCGAGGTGATAAATAATGTATTATTAAAGAATATACTTTGCGTAAAAATGTATATGCAGTATACGCATATATATAGATACAGTAATTCAATTTCAATTTCATTGACAATTGAAGAAGCGTTTTATTGGTTTCACGCATCAGGGGCTTTTCAAGTTCAACCGGAGCTGGTTCAAAAAAAAGTTTTGTCACGAGTCTCGTCTTTTCCTCTTTATGAAATATTATTTGACGGATTTTATTTTGCAATTTTTACAAAGTGCAATATTGCATAATTGCCTATAATGCATGCACTGGGTTCCCGCAAAAGATAAGATTATTATTTCAATAAATGAAAAAAAATGTCGCGTGCTGATGCAAATCATTTGCAAAAAAAATCAATTTTTGTGAAGAAATGATTTTCTGAATTTTCAAAAACAAACAATGCATGTATTTCAGCGCATTATCATTTTAAACTTCCTAACTTATAGTTTGCGAATTCAAAGAAAAATTGTAAAATGCTCAAAATAAGCAAGAAAACTTAGGCTATTCATCACAGATGTAATACTGTACTGTACAGTATAAACAATTTTTGAGAACCAGCTTTTTTTAAATCCATTTTTGCGTTTGTGTACCTTTTATAACTTGATAAATTATGTTCTTTTTGTGTGTAAAGCATTGTATACTAAATATTTTTATTTCAGCCTGGAATAAATTGTTTATTCATGTTTCATTGAAGCCACTAGAGTCTCTCTTACACCTTTTATACATTTTCAGAGAGCTCAAGTGTGTAACTGAAACTATTAGATAAAAAATATATTCTAAAATTGATGGCAATATTTTTGTATATTTTGTGATTATTTCCTCAAGTCATCTTCTCTTGCATTGAAAATATTGTGAAATCACCTGATTCAAAAAGGGACATGATATTGGCAATATTTTTTTATTAATAAGACAAAACTACTGAAATGTAAATTGGTGGACCAAACTTTGTGCAAATCATTATGGGTACAATAGAATAATATTTTGAACAAATCAACTCTGGTTTACTTCATACATGTCTAATTGTGTAACGGTTATTTGAAAGATTCTTATGAACTCAAAAGTATGGGAACCCAAAAAAATGCATTTCAATAAGGCAATCATAACAAAACTTTTGAACCACTGCTCATACTCAGGATTCACTATTATGAAAAGTGTGTATTTTTAGCTGGAAATATTATATGTTGATTATGTCACATAATTCAGTTTTGCATTCCAAACAAGCTGTCAAAATCATTATCTAACCAAAATCATGCACACTACAATATGGATCCAACACTAAATACTTATATATTGCATAAAAAATATTTTACTCAATAGAAAATTCTTCCATCTGATGAAAATTATAATCCATTAGATAGCATCACAAAACAAGCAAAAAAACTTAGAGAAGCATGCCTCCTTCAATAGGGGCTGCATTAAGAACATGGGTTTCAATTTTGCATTCAACTATATAATCATCTGTTCAACACAAACTTTAAAACAAGTCTAAAAAATACAAAGGAATTTTTCCAGAATAGACTTGCCCATTTGAATACAATTTCAAATCTGTTCTTATTGTTCTTGGGTTATGAGCTAAAAATATGGAAATATTGTGAAAACTTCTTGTTTCAGCTTTCAATCCTATCTATCATGGGTAGGTTCACACCTTTTCTGAGAAAATCCCCTTATTTATAATATTCACATGAATAGAAACATGATTCCCAGCTTTATAATTGCAATAATGACTCTCTTTAAAATGATGGTCTGAAAAAACTCTCAAAACTACTTTCTCTGTACTGCTGTACAATATACTTTTCAAACACTGCATTCAAGTGATGGTGAGTGTGAGTTTAGTTAACAGAGTTAAATTAGGCATTCCACAAACAAATGATGGTAATATTAATAATATCATCATCACAGTCATAGCCAAGATGGAGAGATGGCAATCTCATGGCTTCCAATAAGGGCATCATTGGGGTTACCTCTGCTGGCCAAGTCTGAGGTTGTATGCACACTTGCTGAGCGCTTGATGGAGTCTGTGCCTGAGGAAGCCACTGCAGCAGGGACAGGAGTGGACACAGGAGCTGCAGCAGCACTTGCAGGAGGTGCTTTTGGAGCAGGAGGTTTGCCTGATGGCCTGTTGAGCACAATTAATTTGTCAGTCTTCCCAAGCAGTTAATATAAATATAAGGCGCATGCTTTTCATTAAACAGTACTATACTGTACTATTACCAGTGTTGCTAACACTACAGTGGAGCCCCAGCAGCAGTAGGATGTGGACATTCAAAATTCACATAAAAAATCACTTCTTAACTTTAAAACACAAGAAACAACTCTGCAGAATAAAACTACACATCAGAACCTGCCCCTTTGCCATTAAAAGGAGTTTAAAAGGCAACAAACAAGCACATTACATAACATTGTATTGTAAATATATGATGGAATAACCCTACATTTTGTTTAGCCCCTTTTGAAAAGTAAATCAATGTAGAGTCCATTTCTAATACAGCATTTATTTTGTTTTTATGTCCATAGCACAACCCAATTTATTCAAGAGATAACAAAATATTGAAACAAATTTTTTTGGATATTTTCCAGAAATTTTGAGTTTACATAACTTGAGATATTTTTAAGATTTCTGTGCAGAGTTTTTTGTTTAGTTAGAAGTGTCCATAACTGGAACTGTTGGAATGTTATGGCATCCATATTTCAAGACCCACTGAACAACTAAATTATTTAATCAAATCATGCACAAGGCCACCATGGTACTGCATGCATAAAGGAGTGACATTTGTCCTCTTGTGTCAATGGGGTTGTGTGGTATTGATGTACACAACAGGGATTCAAAAAACACAGTTATAAGAAATGCGTTTCATCAGCAGAAGGAAGTGGAATTGAGTCAGTCTACTCAGTCATCATGAGGTGATATGGCTTAAAACAAAGAAATTTTTTTTAACAATGTAATACAACTGCAAATTTATAATAACTCATTAACTCTCCTTTTTCATATTTCAAGGAAGATAAGGAGAAACTTATGTGAAGACGCTTCTTTTTTATTATATAAAATTGACAGTAAACTCATCAACTTTCTTTTTCATCTAAAAATGAAAAACTAGAAAGTCTCAGAAAGTATATAAGTCTTTATTTGACCAATTTTTAAAAACTATAGCAGTACAAGGCTTACCATCCATTTTTAATTGAGGGAAAGGAACAAAGAAGATCCACAAACTGTTATCCACTTCATCCATCCATTTAAAGCAAATGAGGTTAAGTTATATAACCAGGAAAACACTGGACACCACATGACAGTAATTGACAAAGAGAACAAAACTCAAGCAAAGTCACATCACATTTGGTGAGAAAAAGGCACACTTCTATATAAATCAGTGGGTATACACACATCAGCAACTTGAGATTTGTTAAATTATGGGGTTTGATTTAAAAAAAAAAAAAGGTGTATAAATGCCTACCTTCCAGTAGGTGGAGGCAGAGTGGATGATGCAGATGCAGCAGCAGCAGTATTCTTTGCCCTGAAGCTCTGGTTCTCCTTGTGTCTGAGCTGCCTGATGACAGCAGGAGGCTGGACCTTCTTTGGCACACCAACACCAGCACCAGTGGTATTGGTCAGGACCAAATCAGTCTTCTTCTTCTGATGATGATGCTGCTGCTGCTGGTGTTGGGCCAGCCCCAGACCCGGATGCAGCAAAGAAGACTCAGACAAGGACATGTCCTGGCCCAGCTTGGTCCTCCTGGCTTCAATCTGACTCACAACGTCATCAAACACCCGCGGCTTCTCCAACATCATAGGCACTCCCTTGTGGTAGAAGCTCTTTGACCTGTTCACCTTGGAGCCAGCGTTGCTGAGATGGCGCTTGATTTTCTGCGCGATGCTTTCCTTGCGTCTCGCAGAGTCAGTGGAGAAGTGGAAGGGCTTGTGGACCAAGATGGGTTCTCCTAGGTTCATGGGCATGTAGGGCTTGGAGAAGACAGTGTTGCCGGGATTGGTTTGCAAATGCGTGGGCAGGTTGAACTGCGACAGAGGCACCAAGGACGTGGGTCTGGGTTGGTCCTTGCTCTCCAGGTGTCGCTTGTGCGCCGCGAGGATCCTCTCATTCACTTGCACACTGCCTTGGTCCTCCCTGTTCCTCCTATTAATTGTGGGGTAAAAAAAAAGAAAAAGAAAAATGCATAAATAATTTTCTTCTTGTGGCTATAGCAAATTACCTCAGGCAAAAATGCCATCAGGGTATAATTAATTTTTAAAATTTATACAGTAAGACCCCAAAATAAAGACAACCAGACATAGAGACAACGCCACTCTGGGAAACTTGAACTGCAAAAAGTCTGACCTGGCATCTGAACAATATCTTGACATATGGACACTACTCAAACATATCTATAAAAATGGAAAAATGTATTTTCAAAATTTGGACATTTCTTGAACAAATTTAGCTAATGTACTTATATTCACAACATTTGAAAATGACTTTCATTATATATATATACAGTGAGACCCCCCGATGCGGACATAATTGGTGCATCAAGAGTGTCCCTATGTTGGATTGTCACCAAGTCAAATCTTGTTTTCCCAGCATAGACTTACATGGTATAATTTTTAATTGGTGTTTTATGGAAGAAATATTCTTCAGAATTTCATAGAAAAAAATTTTGCCACTTGAATTTGATTCAATGAATATCTTTTCAAACCAATAAAAACATTTGGAACATTGAATAGTGTACCTCTGTACAGTAAAT